CTTTCTTCATCACTAAATATTTCATGCTTCTATTCCAAGATATCTCTCATTTTCATATCTTATAAATTATATGTTTAATGCAAAGTGCAATAATTTCTTGTATACATTTTAAGGGGAAAAAAATGTGTTTTCTTTTTTTTATTTTTTAAGTGAAAAAAATGCTTAATTTGTAGATATTTATATTATTTCACCAATAGTTGTGAATAGTTGTACGTAGTCATGAATGGTTGCTTTTCTCTCGTTTTTTGTTATTAATATTTATCTCCTCTCATAAATATTCTTCGCCTTTTTATTATTTTTTTCATACTCCTAAAAGTTTATATTATTAAAATGGGTTTAAAAACGGGTGTAAATGAAGTAGTGTGTTAAAAAGTAAGTGTAACGAATTTAATAATCATTAATTTCACCAAACAGAACAAGAAGTTGATAATGTTTTATAATAATCTTAGAATCAATTCCAAAAGCACTTTTAAACATTGTCTTTTCTTATAGAATTTAAATGTTCACCTCTATAATTTTTGCATAAAAGAAGGTACAAGAACATTAAATGTTGCTAATAAGAGAGACATGGTTTAAAAAAAAAAAAAAATTGGATGTTTCTAATGTTTTTAGGTACATTTATTTTTTGGTATACCGTTATTCACATATTCGTAAGTAAGAGGTTTGTGATTAAGGTTCGTGACAATATCATATTATTATTAAGGTTCGTGATTCCTAACATGCAACATGAGGTAGATACATTACATCGTTGATGTTCTACTTAATCCTTAAAAATGTGTTATCTACTCGAATCTTTTAATTAATTATGAGAGTAGGTGGAAAAAGCAAAACCCTAATCCCTAAATTAAATGAAATACTTTGGAATTGACTTAGATTCGTTCATTTCCTTAACAACTCACCAATAAACATTATATTTCTATCTTCGTTTTAATAAAATTGATGACGACATAGTTGCTTTCCTTATACCCTACTTCCATTCGTATTTTGATGCAACAATAGACAATAAAAATAAAAAATATATATTTAAAATTTTACGAGCATTTTTGAAATATAATATTAATAACAAGTATAAGAATTGTATTAATGAAAATTTTAAATGTTTAAACTTATTTTTTTAAAAAAATTAAAAGTATTATTGAAAATAAAAAAAAAAATTAGGATCAAATTTTCCAAATTAAAACTCATTAAATATGCATCAATCCAATGGGGTTCTTTTTTATTTAATTAATTTTTGATTTAAATAGTAAAAAAAATGTGAAGCATATAAAACAAGCTTATGAGTCATAATTTTCTTATGCAATTTGATTATTTTAAATTCAATAAAAACAAAGAATGTCTTAAACCCATTTTATTAACTATTATTTAAAGTTTAGTCTTTGTTATTAAAAGTAAAATCAAAATTAAAATTATATTTAGAAAGTCAATCGTTAATGAAAATGACTGATCATATATGGCTGCCACAACACAGCCCTGTTCTTCCACTTTCAAATTTAAAAAGACCAAAGTTTTATTTTCTTCCATATAATATCCTTTTAAGCCTTACAAATCTTTGATAATTTCCATTTTCATGAAGCTAAATGAGAATTTATGAGAATCAAATACGAGATTCATCTTCCTAAATGGTCTGATTCAAAAATTTCCCAAAATGTCCTAGCTTTTGCTTTAGAATCATGTTCTTCTCCAATCTTACACAAACTTCCTCTGTTTTCTCCAAAACCCTCCACGAATGAAGTTTTCTGGAAATTTTAATGACGTTCTGGTTCTTCTTTTGAAACCCCTTTTGATCTTGTTCTGTGCTCTGTTCCCGCTCCTACTCTGTTTCTTCAAATACTATAATAAACAACCCCTGTTTCAACAACATGTTGATTGTGATGGAATTGAAGAAACGCCATTTTCATCTCTAAGCTTTAAGTTTCCAACGTACGAGGATTTTCTGAGAACTACTACACAGAATGTTGACCCACCTGTATATGAAACTTCAAATGAGAACGATTTTGATGATTCGAGTTCTTCAACTTCTGACACGGATTTAGATCTTTGTCCCCGAGAAGACCCAGAAATTTTTCTCCCAAATGGGTTGCGAGGCAGCAATGATGTCATAATCCAAGATGATAATGAATTTGATGAACCTGTGGAAGCCATATCGGGGAGTTTTGATCAGGACTTCATAGAAGAACTGAAAAATGAGATTAAGAAGGTGAAAGCCAAAGCAAAATCCGAATCTGGGTTGCCCTCAATTCCTGAAGAATCGGAGTACCCAATAGCCATGGAAGAAGATTCAAAACGACGGAAGAAAGAAGAAAGATCAAATCGCAAAGGCATAAGAAAAGAACTCCACGAATTCCACAAGCAATACACAGAAAAGATGCGAAAATACGACACTTTAAATCACCAAATCGCAAAAGGTCAGTTCATTCATTCATTCATTCATCCAATTGTTGTTTGTTTCATAAACCCCGCATGGAATTTGGTTTGCAGAGTGGAAAATGAAGCAATCGAAGGGGTTAGTGGAGTCTGTTTCATCGAAAGGGCTGTGTGGGTGCAGGCCTGATAAGAAAGGCGAAGCAAAAACAGGGGAAAACAGAGGAATGGAAGGGGAGTTGGAGGTGGTTTATGTGGTGCAAATGTGGGTTTCATGGGAGTTTATAGTGTGGCAGTACAAGAAAGCTTTGGAGATTAGCGGCGGAGAAGGGTATGGAAGTTACAGATTCAATGAAGTTGCAGAGAAATTTGAGCATTTTAAAGTGTTGATACAGAGATTTATGGAGAATGAATGGTCGGAGGAAGGGTCGAGAGTTGAATATTATGCTACAAGTCGTGTTGGTAAGAGAAAGCTTCTGCAAGTTCCTCTGCTCAAAGGTGAGTCAAATGTTGTCTCCTCTGCTTTTGCTTCTTTATTTAACCCTACACAAGTTTATTTATATATATATATATTTATATTTAATACATATTTAAACTTTAAAAAGTATCTAAAAAAATATTTAAATTTTTTATTATATATTTTAAACTTCGTCTTATTTATTTCAATTTTTTTAAAAAAATTAATCAACATATTAGACATTACAAAAATATATATATATATATATATATATATATATATATAACTTATTAAACAGAAAATTTGACATTTTTTAAATTAAAAAGCCTATTAAATACAAAATTAAAAGTTTAAAATAGATATTTTTAAAATTTAGAAATCTATTAAATACATAGATATTTTTTAAAATTTATAAATATATTAAATTCATACTTATAAATTTTGAGATAGATTAATTAAAAAAAACTTCTAAATTTTTTATAATTTCAACAATATTTTTAAACTTTAAAAAAATAAAAAATAAAAAGTAAAAAAATGATAATTTTGAATATTTAAAAACACCCTTAAATTTGGGAACAACTTCGATGTAAATATATTTTTAAAAGGTTTATTAAAATTTAAGTTTTTTTTGTAAGATAAAATATAAATTTTAGAAATATTTTTATTAATTTATGTTAAATTATTTTGTTGTTAGAGTGATCCCTATTTCGTAGATTAAGCCATAGTAAGTGAGTGGAATAACATCTTGGCCGAGATGCCATTTTCTTTTATATTTGTAGGATATATTGTTATTTAAATATGCTAATGGAATGAACTCGGTTAATTTCCACGATTTACTCGCGATTACACTATTAGCATAGCATCAAATTAGGAAGAAAATTAAGTAATTGTAAGAATGTGTTTGATTGCAGAAGACGAAGCGAAAGACAATAAGAAGACAGGAAGAAGAGAGGAGGAAGAGGGCGTTAAAATGGATAGGGTTATTGAGATATTGCAGGAATGTATAAGAGTGTTCTGGCAATTCATTCGAGCCGATAAACTTGCCCATATATCATCAACTTCAAAGTCTCATATTATAGAACAACAACAAGAGCGTAGCAGCCCTGCATATTCCAACATTCTAAACCAAATTCTGTTAGATCTTCATAAAGTTAGTCACTTACTTCCATTTAATATAAACTCCATACATGCATCCAACGCATTAGATACTCACCTTGTTTGAGAGAGTTGTGTGTTGCAGAAGGACAGAAAATTGAAGAAGATAATACAGAGAAAGACATGGAGATTGAAGAACTGTAAAGATGCCTTTGATGAAGATGACCCAGATGATGAAGCTTACTTCTTGGCTATGGTGGATTTGAAGTTGGTGGGAAGAGTGCTTAATATGCATACCATTTCAATTGACCAATTGAAATGGTGTCGCCATAAATTGAGCTGTATTAATTTTCAAACGGGGAAGATTAGGATACAACCTTCGTCGTTTTTCTCTATATACTCGTGACCACTTTTTAAATGTGATTTTCATTCTACTTTTTTATTCCAAGAGTTGGGTATGTGTCTATATGTTACTGGAGTTACACGCGTATGAATATACAGAGAGAGAGAGAAAAAAAAAATACAAAAATCATATTTTTACAAACTCGTAAGGTCTCACATTAGTTGGAGAGAGAAACGAAACAATTCGTGTAAATCTCTTTCTAATAGACGCGTTGACATTAACTCCCAAAGAGGGTAGATTGTAGGATCCAAACATAGAGTTGTGTGCTAATGAGGATGTTGGGTCTCCAAGGAGTATACCATGACATCCTAGTTAGTTGGAGAAGGGGACCAAACAATCATTATAGAGTGTAGAAACCTCTCTCTAACAGACCAATTTTTTTTTAAATGTTGGGTCTCCAAGGGAGTATACTGTGACATCCCAGTTAGTTGGAGAAGGGGAGGAAACAATTATTATAGAGTGTAGAAACCTGTCTCTAATAGACAATTTTGTTTATAAGAGTGAAAACTTCTCTCTAACCAACGTCTATTTTTAAACGTGAATATGAAGTGATGGAAGACATTAACCAATTTACTACCAAGCCTGAGAGTCCTTACAAAACCAATAAAAAACACTCTTCCCTAGAAAAGTGATAAATATTTATTGCTTTTAATATCAAAGTAGAATTAAATCATAATCCCCAAATAGAAACCAATCCATTTTTTATTAGAGAGAGAATTGGATGATCCTTGGTGGTTGGTTGTGGATTGTGTCAGCTCCACAGTTCCATAGCTTCCATGGACGAAGAAGAAGTTTAAAGAGTACACTCTTCTCTGGAAGACCCTCCCATTACTTTGCCTCTCAATCCCCATCTATCGTCGCCGGCCCTTCCTCTCTATTGGGTTGTTGGAATACAACGCCGTCTCTGATTTTGCCGCCTCTGTTTAGAGTTCGTCTTCAGGTTAGTAATTAATCTTAGTGGAAGCATTTTACAATCTCCCTCTTTTGTACCGATTCAATGACGATATTTGAGTGAGGAACCATTTCGAAATTGTGAAATTAGTCTTGCTCTTGCTCTTGCTCCCTTGGGTTGATTTGTTTATCTCTAAATTTAACTCTTAGAAATGCAAGTTCTGGCATGCAATACTCCCCATTTCTTGGGAAGGCGGGAATTATGCTTTGATGGCGTGTCTTCTGTTTCTCAACCCTCCACTTCAAATCCCACCACTGCTCAATCCATTTCCATTCAAAGGTTGTTTTTCTCTGTGCCATTGCATTATCTGATCAAAATTAATTGTCCATCGTGTACCTATTGATTCGGATTCATATGTTTTAGTTCTCAGTTTGTAATTTGCTTAGCTGATTATTCAGGAGTGCGGGCGATGAGTCTGGGGATCTGGGTTCTGTACTTAGCAGCAAATTTCTTTTCACAACTCGGCGGACGTTATTTGCTAGTTTGTTCCTAAGTTCTTGGGCATATCCTTCAAGGTACTTTTCTCACAGCTTTATGCCCTGCTCTATGAAGTGCATTTTGTTCACGATTGGACGCGTCCTGTTATATTAGTTTCTTGGTCATCAAGAGATGTTTTCTTTCATAATGTCCGTGAGTCTCCGAGCTGCTTGCAAGCTCCTAGCTATGATTTTTCAGGGAATAGTGGTTGTGACAGTTGACACACATTCTGTGAGATCCCACATTGATTGAAGAAGGGAACGAAACATTCCTTATAAGGGTGTAGAAATTCTCTCTAGTGGACGCGTTTAAAAGCATTGAGGGAATCCCGGAAGGGAAAGCCCAAAGAGGACAATATTTGCTAGCGATGGGCTTGGGCGGTTACAAATGGTATTAGAGCCAGACACCGGCCTATGTGCCAACAAGGATGCTGGGCCTCCAAGGGGGTGAACTGTGAGATTCCAAATCGGTTGGAGAGGGAAACAAAACATTCCTTACAAGTGTGTGGAAACTCTCCCCAGTGGATATGTTTAGAAACCTTGAGGGAAAGCCCAAAGAGGACAATATTTGCTAGCGGTGAGCTTGAGTTGTTACGAATGGTATCAGAGCTAGACACCGGTCGGTGTGCCAGCTAGGACGTTGGTCCCCCAAGGGGGTGATTATGAGATCTCACATCAGTTGGAGATGGGAACGAAACATTCCTTATAAGGGTGTGAAAACTCTCCCTAGTGGACGCGTTTAAAAACCTTTAGGGAAAGCCCAAAGAGGAGAATATCTGCTAGCAGTGAGCTTGGGCGGTTACACATTCTCGATCTCTAATGTCATCTTTTGTCTTTTTTGTAAGTGAAGCAAACTTGTCAAGTTTCATGTACAAGTCTTCCAGTCAGCATGGAATGTACAAAATTTTGATTGAGGGTTCTAAGAAGCATAGTTCTTAATTTAAACCAAGTAGCATTTATAGCCTCACGTCTGTTCATATTTGATGTACTTGTGACAAAATAACTTATTTATAACAAAGTTGTGTAGTGTATTTACAGCTCAAGCTTTGGGAGATCCATCTGTAACCATTGAGGAAGTAACTCCCACTATTTTCCCTTCTGGAACCCTCTTCCCTACAGAGGTTTTCTTTTAAACCCTACTGATTTGTTTTCGAACTTCGTTGTCCTTGTTATTTGTAATAATGTATGAACAAGAATTATGTGATTGACAGGAAAGAATTGTCCAACTGTTCGAGAAAAATACGTACTCTGTCGTCAATATTTTCGATGTAACTTTGCGACCTCAACTTAACGTAACTGGCATGGTTGAGGTAATCTAGCAATAAACTTATGGTTCGTGTTGTTCTTGGCATATTCCAAGCGGTTTATCGTGTTCTTATTTTGATAACCTTCGTGTAAGACCAAATCATTACCGTGCCTATTTGCAGATTCCTGAAGGAAATGGTTCGGGAGTAGTCTGGGATGATCAAGGACATATAGTAACAAATTATCATGGTGAGAGGTCACCAAATACAGCAAAAAATAACTACATTGAGTTACTTACAGATTGAATCATCTAAATTTTGCATTGTTGTTTACCAAAACATGGCATTTCTAATGTTTCATGTAATCAACTTTAGACTGTGATTCAGAAAGAAGTTCAACATATCCTCATAGCCTTTGCTTTTTATTACTAAACAGTAATTGCTAGTGCTCTTGCAAGAAATCCGAGTCCTGGGCAGGTTGTTGCACGTGTTAATATTCTCGCATCCGATGGGTGAGGACACTTGAAGTTACACAAATATACTATTTTCATGAACAACAGGTATTTACTTTCTCAGTTTCTGTGTTTGAATAGGATACAGAAGAATTTTGAAGGCAAGCTCATTGGTGCAGACCGTACAAAGGATCTTGCTGTTTTGAAGGCAAGGCTTCTCGGCTTTAAATTCTTTTGCTTCACGGTTTATCCAAGAATGTGCAATTTTGGATGATTATTGGTATCTCTGATCAAGTTTGGGCTGAGTCTTTTATTTGTGAATTATCATAGCTCATCCATTCTCTGATTTGTCTGGACATAAAATCCCTCAAAACTCCCATCTTTTGTTCCTTGTTTTTTCATATTCTGAATGATCCTTGGTTCTTATATGAAATAAAATTCCTCAAAAGTCTAAACAAGTATGAGATAAACGCCCGTGTTCTTGCAGGTGGATGCCTCAAATGAGTTGTTGAGGCCAATCAAGGTGGGGCAGTCATCTTCTCTTAAAGTGGGGCAACAATGCTTGGCAATTGGAAATCCTTTTGGTTTTGATCATACCCTCACCGTTGGAGTCATTAGTGGACTGAACCGTGACATTTTTAGTCAGACTGGTGTCACCATTGGGGGCGGAATCCAAACGGATGCAGCTATTAATCCTGGGAATAGGTTATTCTGAGATTTCATCATTCTTTCTCCTGGGAAATCTTGTCTGTCTTATTATTCCTTTCTTTGATTGATGAAAGTGATACCACCTTATGTATTTAATGTTGACATCAAGAAGCTTAAGTTTTCCTGTATCTTTGACAGTGGAGGTCCTCTACTTGACTCGAAAGGGAACTTAATTGGTATTAATACTGCTATTTTTACTCAAACAGGTAAGCTCCCTCTTTCTTCAGCCAAGTTTTGATTCATTATTTTTAACACTTGGTTGCATTCCTATTCCTGCCATAACAGCTCAAGGCCACCGCTAGTAGATATTGTCATTTTTGGGCTTTCCCTTTCACACTTCCCCTCAAGGTTTTTAAAACGTGTCTACTAGGGAGAGGTTTCCACACCCTTATAAAGAATGCTTCATTCTCCTCCCCAACCGATGTGGGATCTCACAATCCACTCCCCTTTGAGGCCCAACGTCCTTGCTAGCACATCGCCCGATGTCTGGCTCTGGTACCATTTGTAACAGCCCAAACCCACCACTAGCAGATATTGTTCTCTTTGGGCTTTCCCTTTCGAGTTTCCTCTCAAAGTTTTTAAAATGCGTCTGCTAAGGAGAGGTTTCCACACTCTTATAAAGAATGTTTCGTTCTCCTCTCCAACTGATGTGAGATCTGACAGTGACGATGTTTAGTTGTGATTTTCAAATTTTTCTTGCCCTACTGTTCAACAATAAGATTAGGGATGTGATTAACATTAGTCTGTTCTGTTATGGTTGCAGGAACATCAGCTGGGGTTGGTTTTGCAATCCCATCTTTAACCGTAGTCAAGATTGTTCCTCAGTTAATCCAATTTGGCAGAGTAGGATTAAGTTGCTAAACAAGATTCCACCTTGTCTTATTTCTATTCGATTTAAACAATTCATGGTTTAAGATTCTGATTTTTCATATAGGTAATTCGGGCTGGCATAAATGTAGATTTTGCTCCCGACCTGATCGCTAATCAACTCAACGTTCGTGATGGAGCTCTAATTCTACTGGTATACATTCCCCAGACTAATTTCTTTTCCTTCTAAGATGCATCAAGTTCGTCAACTTAAGATGAGTAATACTCTTTTCATTCATGATTTTTACTCCTCAGGTTCCTGCAAATAGTCCTGCAGCCAAAGCCGGACTATTACCCACCACCAGAGGTTTTGCAGGCAATATAGTACTCGGAGACATCGTCACCGCCATTGATAACAAGCCGGTGAGCTCTTCATTCTTTCCAAACAAATGTTGCATTTCCACCCTCTGCATTAAACTGGGAGATAGTTTCTGTCTAATTGCATGAACAACCAAATGGTTCTCTTAAGAATATAAGGTTCTGTATGTCTTTATAGGTAAGAAACAAAGCAGAATTGTACAAGTTATTGGATGAGTACAACGCCGGAGACAAAGTTATTTTAAAGATAGAGAGAGGAGGACAAAGTCTGGAGCTGCCTCTGATATTAGAAGAAAGTCAATAGGAAGTCGAAGGTAGCAGCAGAGTCTTGGGAAGAACATGCTAACCATTACAACATTCAACTCGGAATCAAATGGAGAAGTAGAAGAAGAAAAGCAATGGAAGCAAATGTTTTTGGTAAAATGAGGTAATCTTGTGTTATAGAATTTAAAGCTTTCTATGGAAAGTTGCTGAGTTGCATGTTTCAAATTGTAATTGGAAGCATGAAATGTGGTGTGTTTTGATGATGGGGTGGACTCAGCTTGTCCAGCTGAGGCATCAACTATTAGCTTGTGTTAGTATCAATGTAAATGTTCATGTAAAGATCAATATCAGCACGATGCGTCGTAATGGATCCAATTCAAGACTCAATATCATTCTCATGTTTAGTTTAGTTCTTGTTTTTGGACTATAAGAGCTTAAGTTCACTGATTGCAAATATTGTTCTCTTTGAATTTTTTCTTTTCGGACTTTCCCTCAAAATTTTAAAATGCATCCGCCGGGAAGAGGTTTTCACGACCTTATAAGCAATGCTTCGTTCCGGTCTTCAACCAATGGTAGTTTTATCTCTCTACGTATGTGTTGACTTTTGTATTATTATGGAATTTTATTGATAGGTTGATCCTCTCCTCCCTAAGGTAAGAGACAAAGTAAACGGTTGATACTTCCATGGTTGTTTTCGGGTCTTTTTCTTTTAGTGCTTCGAACCGACACCATTATAATTTATTATAATTTAGCATGAGTTGTCTTGAGAGTACAAGCCGAGTATTGTCATTATAATTGGGCTTCTGAAGGCCCAAAATGGGAGCAGCCCAATACAAGAAACACGTGAGCCCAATTCAGGATCCATGGCTTCTTTTAACGGAGAGTTAACGGCATATATTCGATTTTACTTTTTTATTGACATTTTTCCATTAAAAAGCTTGGATTGCTATTTTATTTTTTCTTATAAATAATTTAATTTTCTTTCTTTTTTTACTATTTAAAAAAAGAAAAAGAAAAAAGAAAATAGGAAACAAAAGGAGAAGAACGTTCGTCCCTCCATATAAATAGAGAGCAGCCGCCTTCACTCTGAAACTCCCACTTCATTAGCCGATTCCCGCTTTCTTTTTGGCCCCAAACTTTTTTATTCCCTCTCTGTTTTTCCCTCCTTTTTCTTCGCTTCATCTTCAAGTTAGGGTGTTCCTCTCCCCCAACTAGGTTTCCGCCGCTAAAATGGTCGCCGAAAAGGGTAAAAAGTCCAAGCCTGCCGACAAGGTTGAGGACGACGGGTCTGATCATATTGACGTCGAGCTCGTTCAATGTATCGAGAAGTTACAGGAGGTTCAAGACGAGCTCGAAAAGGTCACCTCCTTTCTTCTCTCTCCCTCTCTTCACTGTTGTTTCCGTACATGTATGACAATAGGTTTTGGTTTGTGCATGCATTTTCCTGTTACCACTGTAAATTAGCGTTTTCTGCTCTTTAATTGTGTTCTTGGGGTTCATATTTTGATTCATGGATATATTAGCTCAATTACCTAGGACGATGGCTTTTGTTATTGTTTCCTACTTTTAATTCTCTTGCTTCTTTAACTGGTGTCTGTTAACCGATTTTTCCTGCCTTTTGGACTTCTTACATATTTATTCTGATGAATATGAGGTGGTTTTCCAAATGGTATTTGACCGAGACTCGCATGGATTACAGAGCTTTTGGTAATGCTTTCTGAGTTGAAGTTTCAAACGGGTGGAACGGTGTGATTTATGCTAATTTCGTTGGCTTCTGATTCTTCTACGGAATACGGGTGGTTTAGGCGTTTTGAATTATGCTCATGTTGCATTGACGGCATTCCTGGTTCCAATAATTTGTCAACTATCAAGTTTTACCCTAAATACTCTGAGCTAAAAGTTTGAGGCTGTGAATGATTTAAGCTATTTAAATTATTCATTAACACTCTTTATCCTAAAATTTTTATATTTTATGCTAACTAAGGATGCCCTATGACATACAACAAAGACATTTAAACCTGTCTTGAGTGAAAAATAAGATTTTTACAAGAATTTCTATGTAAGATCTATCTTGTTCAAATCTCGTGCTAAACTACCACTTTATTTCGATCTTCTCTCAACTGTTTGAAAGTACTTGGAACTTCTGGGCCCTGAGCTATATATCATTGCTAAACTACCACTTTATTTCGATCTTCTCTCAACTGTTTGAAAGTACTTCGAACTTCTGGGCCCTGAGCTATATATCATTGACTTTCCCTCAATTCCTTGTTTTTAGTTGGCAAGGATTTGACTCTGCCAAAATTGCAAAGAATTAGGGTGAATAGCTCATCATATTCCGCAAGCGTTCACTACTTGAATGTTGTTGTGATTTTTAAGGCAAGTTATATATGAAACGGATACAAGGACACAAGTAGGTCGAATCATCTTATTACTATTAAAATGACGCAATCTTATTACCTAAGTACTAAATAGAGATACTATTTTGATAGAATTTAACCACATGCCAGATTCTTCTTTCTCCTGATGGTTATGTTTCCCCTTTCTTTTTCTGTTATGCATTTATAGGGTTGAATTCAATTCTCTCAAACATCAATCATATCTCTTCTTCTTTGTTTCATACTTTCCTAACATGAGGCGATACATGTAAAAAGCTTGAGATGTAAGCAATGAAAATAGAATCATAATGTCCAACATGGTATATGTCAACATTTGTGTACTTTATTGTTATTAAATTTATATGTTTACGTCTAATTGGGCAATATTTTCTATAAGTTCATGCTAGGGAATTATATCTTGTATTTAACTTTTCACTCCATCAATGAGAAGTGCGTTTCCTTTCAGGAAAGAAAAAGAAAAAGAAAAAAAACTTGGATGGAATAATTCCATCGAACAGACTGCCATTGAAATTCTTATTCACATTGATTGGCTCGTTTTATTTGTTTATTTATTTGCCAAGGAGTGGTTTAATGTGTTGTGTACAATATCCAGATGTAGATTTCCCACACCCCCACCATGTTTTCTTGTTGAGGTTCTTGTTCTTTCTTTCATTTACCTTACTGAACTGTTGCTTCTTATCAAAATACATACATATTTATTCAACCCCAAATATACTTTAATAAAAACATTTAGCAAGAATTCAAAATTTCATTGTCTCTCTATGTTAATATTCCTTTCCTGCTTTCAACTTTTGCAAATTAGTCAGGTTAGTAAATATATATATAATTTTTTTTTTTTTTTCTTTTTTGCAATTTTTTGAACTTTTTTGAACTTTTAAGGAGAAGAGTTCCATGTGTTTTATTTCAATTAATGTTAGATATGACTCCCAACTTCTGTAGAAGCTCCTCCCAATTTGAGGTTATGAATGGTCCAGTGTTGGGTCAAAGGATCTGAGATCTTGTTTAGTCTTCAAAAAAAGAGTGTAAATCTAGGACTTGATAGGCAATGTGTACAAGACGTTCACCATGGTTATGTTCTGCCGATGCCTGATCCATTTGGCATGAATGCAATTTCTTATATATAATTCAATATTCAATAAATAGACTGGATCTTATTCTTGTACCTCTGGCATCCAACAGGTTAATGAAGAAGCAGGTGACAAAGTTTTGGAAGTTGAACAGAAATATAATGAGATAAGGTGGCCTGTTTATGTGAGACGGAATGAGATTATCAAAACGATTCCAGACTTCTGGTTAACTGCTGTGAGTGATCTGTTTATTTATTGACGTTTTACATCTTATCTTTTGCAGCCACTTAGTTTATTTACTTTTTTTTCCTTTGGTGCACATGCTTGATTTTTGCAGTTCTTGAGTCATCCTGCACTTTGTGATCTTTTGTCGGAAGAAGATCAAAAGGTTTGTTTCTTTAATCTATTGAATCTCTGATTGTGGCTTGGGTGAAAAATGAATACTTCTGCAACTTCTTTCTATTTCCAATTTATTTTGAAGTCCTAATTCAAAGTGGCTTTTGATTCTGTAATGATCAACTGCAAACAAATATATACTCTCGTAACTGTTGATCTCTTATTCTTGTTGCAGATATTTAGGCATTTAGATTCTCTTAAAGTGGAGGATCAGAAGGATGTAAAGCTGGGTTATTCCATCATACTTGTAAGCTTCATCTAACTTGTTCGACTTATGCTAAATCTGTCCGTTTGCATCATTCACATGTTACATTTTTTTTTGTCCTATTTGGTATCTTCCCTCAATTGCAGAATGTGATAATGATCTGTCACTAAACTGCTTAAAATTGCAGAATTTCAATGAGAATCCTTATTTTGAAGATAGAAAACTAGAGAAGACATATACATTCTTTGAAGACGGGGCAATTAAAATTACTGGAACAACAATCAAGTGGAAGGATGACTCGGTAACAGTTATATCTATGAAAACAATAATTTCTGTGGTTTCTTAAATCAGATCAATGATCTAATAGTAAATTTTGAAGGGTGCATCAAATGGAGTAAATGGTGAGAAGAAAGGAAAGAAGCGACCCTTGATTGAAGACAGGTGCTTCTATACCCTTACAAATTTGATTCCATCTTAAACAAACTAAAAGTCATAGAACCTCAAGGTTTGACAATGACATCATATATTATAAATTAAAAGGGGTTCAATTCTGCTATATCCTCTTCTGATATTGTCTTTTCTTTCTTTTTTTTTCTTTTTTTTTTAATACCAAAGAAAGAGGGCTTGCGGGAGAGAATATCTTAAATTTAGTTCATTGATTCTATTTCTTGGTGAACACAATTGAATTTAATATGTAACTATATTTTTTCTTATAAAAAACAGATAAATTTATTCACTACATTGAAAACAAAAAACCAAATCTGCAAGCAGTTAGTTTCTTTTTTTTTTAAAAGACTCTCATTAAATCAAATAAATTAGGTATTAAATGAAGACTAATTTTTTCTAACTAGACATCTATCCTATGAAAAATAGAATACCGTAAATATTTTAATGTATTATTTTATAAATAAGATCTAATTTTCTAAAAATAAATTTCAAAATTTTGAAATTCTTATGGGTGTGCTACTAAGCAATGCAATTATTTTATAGGATTAATGAAATTGTTTTTTTTTATATTCTTCAAGTATATAATAAAGGAATAGTTCTGTCAAATGCATTTTAGAATAATATCATTTAAAAATTACTAAATCCGTACATTGCTCATAAAGTTTAATTAGTATATTAAAAGGTATTTAAGGAAGTAACTTCTGATTTTTAAATATGTGCTAATTTAATGTCTTACCATTATCCAGCTCCTTTATTGCAATGATTTCTGCTTTTAAACAATGAGTTTTTTTTTTTTTTGTCGAATAGAAAAGTCAGTTTAATACCACCCTTTCACTCTTCTCTTCTTACTGTGGTTTATTGTTTTAATTTCAATTTGTCATATTTACTCTCTATATTGCTCACCAATAATTTACGTATGCAGCTTCTTCAGTTGGTTTGGTGAGACCAAAGAAGAAGATATCACTGAGCTTCATGATGAGGTGTGTATGAACATTTTCTTGCCCCATGATTATGTAAATGCTCAGCTTGTTAATGTAATAAGGTCTAATCTGTTAGTTTGCTGTGTACTCTTGTTAGTTGTTAACTAGTATAATTCGCTTTCTAAGTCATTTAAAGTGCTTCTCCAATTAGATAGTACAATGGTTCAAACCTCGTGGTGATAAAAACTTAGATAATATAAAACTCATTCCAGCTTCTCTTTTAATAATTCGATGCTTTTGTTTGTACTTATGTGTGTGTGTTTTTTTACTTAAAATGCAGGTTGCGGAGATAATTAAAGAGGACTTGTGGCCCAATCCTTTGAAATATTTCAACAATGTAATTTCCTCTGTCTTACATAATTTTACCTATTCTTTGAGCACTCATCAAGCTCTGTTGCCAAGGGGTTTCCCCCACTTTGTAGTATGAAATACCAATATTTCCATCATAGTGTCTATGGGATGCATCTTAATCTAACAATTGAAACTTTAAGCAAGTTAATAGTGGTAGTTTTCTTAGGCCTTGTACATTCATTTCCAAGGTGTTCTATCTCGTTTTCTCTGATCACTAACCACTCTGTTCGGAACAGCTCTTAGCTCTCATGTTTGTTTTTTGGTAGAATGGTTGGATTGGGGAGGCCCCATTATTGGTTTCTTGAGCCTAGTTTTCCATGTCTCTATCTTTGGGTTCCCTTCTTTCAGTTGGATCTCCTATTAGTGTTTCCAGAAATCTTAACAGAGAGGAATCCCTCTTTTCTGAATGAAAGGGTGTAGTAGGTGCATCTCTCACTCACCTAGCCAAGAGGTTCTACTTTTATCGATTTTTTTTTCCCCCGGGGGGTGGGGTGGTGAAGGTGGCCAAGAAGCTGAGATTATTTGAGAGGTATTCTGTCTATCATATCGGGCAGCTTGGAAATACCTAATCCAAAAAAAAAAAAAAAAAATCTAATCGAATTTTCATCATTTTTTGGGGATTTTGTTCGAGATCAGGGTGTTGTGAATTTCATTACCTTTTGGTTGCCTCCTCTTGTTTCTGGACATTCATCTTTCTATTATGGATAATTAGGTTCCTATTTATAGTCGTATTTTAAGTTTTTTTTTTTTTTTTCCATTTTTTGGGGCATTCTCGTCTTCTTTTGTTGTTCTAATGAAAATTTTGGTTCTACCAAGGAGGAAAAATGAGGGGCTTTCTAATTTGTTTACAGGAGATTGATGAAGATGAAGAGGACTCTGATGGAGAAGAGGAGGAGGAGGTAAACAAGATTAAGTTTCACTTTCGCCATCTTACAACTGCACTCAAATTTATGGATGTTATTTTGAACCCATTTGAATGTGTCTTTGGCGTGTCACTATTTTGTTTGGTGATTTCTGTTCTTGCCATTCTCGAATCACTCAGGCATGCATCTTTTCGACAATCATTCCCAAGCCTCCATCTAGTTTTCTAAATGTAATGGGGCATTTATTTGTAAGCTTCTGAAGTATTGTAAGTGGTCCAAACCTAGGCGTTTTGCAACTTCACTGTCGCTATTTACTTAGTCTAAATCTAGTGTTTTACTGCTTCATTGTTGCATAATTATAAGCTTCTGAAATATTGAAATATTGTTGTACATGATCTTAATCATCTAGTGTTTTGCAACTTAATCGTGGCTTAAACTGTTCTGTACATATAGACTGGCTAAAAGTTCAGAAGTAATGGTTCAAACTCTGGTTGATGTGTGTAGGAAAACGGAGATGAAGATGATGATGATGATGGCGAAGAGTGAAACGTAGAGAACAAACACAGTAGAGAACCCCCCATAGGTACTCCTATCTTTTCTTTTTACCAATTTCCATATTACGTAGGATATCTATTGTTCCAATCTCTGATAAGTACTGTTGTCATATTTATACCTCAAATGTGTTATTTATCTTCTAGTCTATTTTTGGCCTCCCCTTCCTCATCATTCAATACACAGCCCAATCCTTTCATGAGAGATGCTTCTATTTTCCAGTTCTTATCTGAACATTTTTGTAGACTATTTCTTACAATATTGTTGCCTGAAAACGATGTAGATGGGTAGTATTTGTCTGAATCATGAGATTGCTAAATTTTCCAGTTCTTATCTGAACATTTTTATAACTGGATGTGTTTCTAAGAGTAGTGTCCAAAATATCGCTTGAAATTTTATAGTGCTTGTGGATAAAGCCTATAATTCTCAGTCATCCTTGAAAGTTTCATCGGCTTTATCTACAAGTACTATAAAGTTTCTAGCGATATTTTGGACACTACTCTTAGAAACAAATCAAGCCGATAATTCATCTACTGCCACGGCATATTCAAATCAAAAGCATCTTAGAACCTACAGAATTCTGCTTTTGTTGATTTGATTATGACGTAGCAGTAGATGAACATATGGGGGCTAAATATATGTTTTTGTGGTTAGATAATCATTCATTTTTGAAAGTATAGTCTCTACCAACCTTGCTTTCCAAATGGTTGCGACACAAGAATCATCCAAACGACCTCATAGATTTTCTTACGGCCATATCTTAATCAACAAATTAATTATTATGTTTCTTTTTATAGAAAAGAAAAAGTACAATAAATGAGTATGACCATAATTTAGAATTGGGCCCCACAGTCCACTAAGAAATGATTCACATGCATTGTTTGATGAAACAGTAGTCCAAAACTATGTATTGTGCTTTACAAATGACATATGGGCCTCATTTTCCCCACATCTTTGGGCCCATATTGTTTGTTGTTAAAGTTCTTAGTATCAAGACAGGACAGCCCATGTCTCTCCTTCCTTTTTTTTATTTTTTTATTTTTAAATTTTGGTCGATTTTAGTCGAACTTTTTAATAGGCAGACACGTCTTGTATTCATTATTTGATGAGTCGATATTTATGTGAATGAGTGTTTCAGAAAATTCAACTCTAAAATTGATATTTGCAGTTCAATTGCTACATATAAATATTTGAAAACATTGATTCCTTTTTTCCCTTTAGATTTGTTTTTAAAACTTAGGGAAATGCGAGATTTTGTCTAAATCGGCTAATGATTGTTGAATACCAAAAAGAAATATAAAGAGGGTCAAATGTAAAATGATGAATTAGATTAAATTAAATTGAAAATATTTAATTGAGAGAGAAGTTTGAACATGCGAGTAAAGGCAGCCAGTTTGTGGCAAGAATAATGATGATAATCTCGCCGCAAAGCTAAGAATATTAAAATAAAAAAATATATATATTACGGTAAACTAGGGAGCATAATTACGGTTAGGATATGGTTTTTTATTTAATTAGCTTAAATTTTAAATAATCATAATTAATGTGCGCAAACCTTGCTTTATCATGATTTCCAGGAAACTTTGGGACCAAAGTTCAACTCAGGTTTGTTAACCATTTTTTTAAAAGTATATGATATGTAATCTACAATATATTATATGATATTTGATAAATAATATATCCTAGTTTGTAGTATATAGTATAAAGTATATTTATGATCATACATTAGTTGAGAAGATTAAGATTAAAACTAGAACAAAACAAGTAAGGAAGTTCAAAAATTCAAGTAGAAATATTTAAATTTAAGAATTATAAATTATATAATATATTTTTAAATGTGATATTTGTATTACATAGAGGATCATTTCCAATAAATTCATGACCAAGAAAGGAAATAATCCTTTTTTCTAATTTGAGAAAAAAAAAACCAAAACTTTAAATGATACCTATATAATAATAAATATACCACCTATAATAAACAATATACTTATTAATTAAATTGTGAAGACCAATATGATATTTTAAGCTACTTTATGCATGTATTAATTATGATTTCAAGATATCAGGGAAATCAAATCATTAAAATTTAAATTTTAATACTCCATATATATATATTTTTAAAGCTCTATTAATAGATATTGTGTCATGTGAGGTTAAGTACATTATTTGAAGGTTGTGTGCATTTTTAGATTTTGGCAACTATAATTAGCACTATTTATAAGGAAAAAAAAAAAGTTGGACATGAAGTTCAAGGATGAAGAAGATCTATGATGTTCTTGTGATCGTCCCTCTAGTAATAGGTCAAATCTACCTTATCTAAAGGAAAAAACGATCCAAGAACAACTCATAAAGAAACAATTTTTCAACTTTGGATGTTTTTAGTGTATAGATAAATTTGAATGTTTTCTTCTAGTAACTCTATTAATATGACCACTTTATGATTCAAATCATTCCCGTGAAACACATGTGAGTCTCCTCATAAATCCGTTAATTGAAAAGATAAATATTTTATAAGACGATCATGATTTTGAATCTTTAGAAATAAAAATAATAATCGAAGATGGAAGGAGAAGGGGGCATACACATGAAAACCAAAAGAAAAAACTTCAAAGAAAAAACATGAAGTTATGTTAAAATTACTTAACAAAAAAACAGATCTTTATGTTCCCAAAAGTGAATACAAAGCTGTCTAATCCACCTTTTTCTTAATCTTTTTATTTATTTATTAATCATTCAAATTAATTACCCTTTTTTTGTTATTATCATTAATTGATTAATCAAATTTGGTAAACATGTTGTTACTTACATAATGATAGTAATCAATCAATGTGTTGTCACCAAATTTGATGTGAAGGCTGTCTTTTTAATTTTAATTATGTCTATATCATGAAATTTGGCATGCTCCTAAAGGCTTCCTTTTTATTCTTTTTTATTTTTTTGCCCCATAAATTGCTATTAATTAATAAAATAGTTAATGGGCTTAGCAGCCCAATTTTCTTGGGCTCTACAAAGGGTAGGCCTCTTTTTCTTATTGCTCTCTAAATTTAAAATAGAAATAGAAAAATATCTTTTTTTTAATTATATATATATATATATGATGTCACCTTTCATCACTTTGGAATTTTATTTTTTATGGTTAAAAGGTGAAAAATAAAATTGGAAAAAAGGAAAAGAGAAATGAAATTGAATATTGAGGCGTATGATTTCCAGACATTATGACATTTGCAATGCATGCCTGAAGCATAAGTGACAAAAGACCATTTACGCTGTCTACCTAACTTTTTTGGTTTTTTTTTTTTTGACCTTTTTATTATGGGTATATATATTAACCCAGTTTGCTATTAATTTTTTATTGAGATCCTACGATATCTAGAGAGGAGAACGAAATATTTCTTATAAGAGTGTGAAAACCTCTCCTTAACGTACATGTTTTAAAATTATAAAGCTTACAGTGAACTTAAACTATTATAATAAGTCTCGGTCGGATCCATCTTTTTAACTTAGCAAACTAAATTGAATTTGTTTTGTTTTCAAAAAATTCTACTCGAGTCAATTATTTGGGGGATGAGAATGAAAAATAAATATAAAATATAAAATATATGGATAAAAAAGTTTGGAATGGTTGTGCAATAATGATAAAGAAAGAGGGCTTGAATGCAATTTCAGGATAGTGTAAGTGAGCTAACGTCACTGTCGTGTACTTCTAATCTCGATTGTTAACCACTCAGAATGCCACGTGGCACCGTTTCCATTTTTATTGAAAAAAGTAAAATATTTTTTTAATTTTTTTTAAGAAAGGATATTTTAAAACTCGAGTATTTAGCTAAAGAATAAAATAAAATAAATAAATAAAAAATAATTCGAATATTGAAATATATTGGAGGAAATTATAAGAGGCCGTTTGTGTGCAAGTTGACGAAAATAAAAAATAATAACTCATAAAAATTCATCCAAATAATGAAAAAAAAGATGGAATGAAAGTTTTTTTTTTTTTAAATCAGAAATAATACAAAATATTATATTATTATATATATAGATATCGTCTTATTTAAGCATTAAAATGTATTGGTTAGAGAGAGATTTTCACACATTTATAAAAATGGTTCGTTATTAGAGATATCGTCTTCTTTCAGTATACGTCGAACGAAGTCGACAACTATATATATATATATATATATAATTTTTTTTTGTCGTCTCAAATAATTTTGTTAAAAAAAATATAATAATAAATTTAAATTTAAAAACAAAAATAGTTTAAAAAAATGTCCCCATCTCTCTCCCTATAAGAATTCACTCCTCCCACGCACTTGTTCCTTCAACTCTCGTCTTCTCCATCTTTGACCACTGGTCAAACTCTCTCTCTCTCTTTCTCTCTCTTCTTTCCTTTTTCCGCCGGCGAAAGAACGGAGCTCTGCCGTGGAGAATGATAAGACACAGAACTCTGGAACAATCTCAAAAAAGCAGCCAAAACGACGCCATTTCCCTTCACATCTCTCTGCAATAAACCAATAATTCATTTCTCCTTCTTCCTCCTTTTAACTGATTCATCCTTCTTTCCCATCGTTTTTTTTTTTGGGTTTGTCCAATGGCGGAGCCAGTAGCAGAGCCCAAGGCGTTGCCGGAGCCCGAAAAGAAGAAGGAACAGAGCCTTCCTTTTCTCCAACTCTTCGCTTTTGCTGACAAATACGACTGGTTTCTCATGACCCTTGGCAGTTTAGGCGCCGTTGTCCACGGCTCTTCCATGCCCGTCTTCTTTCTCCTTTTCGGTGAAATGGTCAATGGCTTCGGCAAAAACCAGTTCAATTTTCACAAAATGACATCGGAAGTCACTAAGGTTTTAATTTCATCCCAAATCCTCTGTTTTATGATTCTTGTCTTTTATAGATCTCAGATCCGATTATTTTACTCTGTTCTTTCAATTTGCAGTATGCTCTGTATTTTGTGTACTTGGGTCTCATTGTCTGTTTCTCATCCTACGCTGGTAAGTAAAAACTCCTCTGTTTTCCCTTTCGAGAACCCAAAAAACAGAGCATTTGATTGAGCTTGTCGGTGTTTGGATACAGAGATCGCATGTTGGATGTACACAGGGGAGAGACAAGTGAGCACATTGCGAAAGAAGTATTTAGAGGATGTTCTGAAACAAGACGTTGGATTCTTCGACACTGATGCAAGAACAGGGGATGTTGTTTTCAGCATCTCAACAGACACCCTTCTTGTTCAAGATGCAATCAGCGAAAAGGTAATTCCTTTTTCACTTTTTCTTTCTAAAATGGAGAAAAATCTAATGGTGTCTAGTGTGGGGGCTAAATGGGTT